TGAAAGGAACTGGTAATGCAAGTGATTGCAAAGCACTTGCCTAAAATCCAAAGAGTTATACAATAATAATAGTAATCATCTGTCACTAAAAGTATTTCCATTTTAGTAGGTTGTAAGTAATACATTTTCTCTTTGCTCTAGTCTCTCTTTACTCTCTAAATAATGCATTACCCATTGCATTTACAATCTCCTGGCCCGGTTCTTGGTGTTTTAAATTAGAATCTGGCCTGCCCACGTGAGCTAACACCTTTCACCTCAAGAATAATACCAGGCGATCTTTAACGACAGGACTTTGAGATTTACAGTTTGAGCTTGGAGGTGGAATGTCAGCAGTATGGCAATTCAGGAAAAGAATCCTCACACCTCATTTCTTCATTCAAATGAATTCAACAAATATTTCTTGAGCATACATACGGTCAGAGGTAGGCAATGCGTGACAAATAGATACACCTTAGAAGGCCACACAGATGTGGAAACTAATTATTGTAATATGGGTAGTGAAACTTTTAGCGAGAATCTGCCGAAAGTATCTTGGTAACATACAAGATGGAATTACCAATTCTGCTGCCTCCAGAGGAGGGGGGCGGAAGGTGTCTTGGTCAGTACAGTTGCAGATAGCTGAGCCCTTTCTAGAAAGTCGAAACAGAAAAGAATTTAATGTGGGGAGTTAGGTATTTGCAAAATTGTTGGAAGGGCTGGAGGAGCAGGCTGTAGGTGATGCTTCCAGAAATAAGTCTTAGAAAAACATTACAGAGCTGTACCTCTGAGAAAGTTGCTACTGTTGCAATGATCAGAAAGTCAGAGATTCTGGACAATTTATCATTATTATTATAACTTCCTTCTAACTGTGATTATATATTCTTTGACCAACATCTCCCCATCCTCCCTTCCCCCTCACCACCCAAGCCTCTGGTAACTCCCATTCTTCTCTCTCCACCTGTGAGATAAATGTCTTTACACTTCACATGTGGGTGAGAACATGTAGTATTTGTCTTTCTGTGTCTGGTTTATTTCACTTTGCATAACATCCTCCAGTTTCATCTGTGCTGGTGCAAATAACAGGATTTTGCCCTTTTTTATGGCTGAATAATATTCCATTGTGGATATAGACCATATTTTCTTTACCCATTCATCTGTTGCTAGGGACTTAGGATGCTTCCAGAATAGGAAAATATATAGAAACAGAAACTAGACAAGTGATTGCCTGGGGCAGGGGGTGGGTGGGAGGAAGAGAATGGGGAGAGAGAAATGGGGAATGACTACTAATGGTTATGGAGTTTCTTTATTGCATGTTGAAAATGTTCTAAAAGTGTGGTGATGGTTGCATAGCTCTGTGAACATTCTAAAAACCATCAGATTGTACATTTTAAATAAGCAAATTGTATGACTTATGAATTATATCTCAATTAAGTTGCCATTTAAAAAAAGTTAAGGATTCAGAAAACCAATGCCCCAACTTTCGATAACAGAATCCCATTGCACCAGCTGGAATCCATAGCTAACACAGTGGATGACCGTCACACGGCATTGGCCCCCAGCAGGCCAGAGCCTGGGCACTGCCGCAGTAACACCAAACGCCTCTGCCACTGTGCAGAGGCATGCCCAGCCCTCAGTTCCATCTTTCAGTGTTTTTGGTCCGTTTGGTGGAAGCAGGGCCTCGCAGGGAACCCACGCTGTGGGGAGATCTGGAAAACGTGTTCCCCAGCGTTAGGGCCTCCAGCCTGCAGTGAGTCCTGCTACCCCAAAGATGGGTGGATGGGAGGGAGCCTGGCTCCAGTATCTGCCTTCGAGGCTTCACATAGAAAGGGCTGCTTGATCTGGGACTTTCCAGATGAGCGAGGATCCAGAGGACAGAGCAGGGAGGGCAGCCGGGGCATTCTGAGTGGGGGCTGCTGTGCTCATTGCTTACTGCGGGGGCACAGGGCTGTGAGAATGCACGTTTGGGTTAAATAGTAGAAGCAATAAGTAGCACAAAATGCAAAAGTAGGTGCAGTAAAAATTGGACAGGGACAGGCATGGGGGACTGATTTTAAAGGGCTTTGGAGTTCTGACTTTACGCTATAAGGAGTAGGGAGCCACAGAGAGGTTTTAAGGAGTGAGTGTGTGTGTGTGTGTGTGTGTGTGTGTGTGTGTGTGAATGGGAGCAGGGGTTAATTTTCCTTGACTGCTAGGTATGTTATTACCATGGTATCCTGATAAATGTTAAACAACTGGCTCTCCAGAGGGAAGAAAAGGCACCCTGCTTTGTTGGGTATGTCAATTCCTGTGTTGTAAATAATCCCAACATGGCCTGCACAAGCTACTAACATGATATCACTGAATGTAGAGTTGGAAAGAGATGCATACAATTGGCTCTTGGGAGCTGGTACCAGCTGGCACCAGCACTTCCACACAGTGAGTCCTTTCTTAACATCCTCGATGGGTTTTTGGAAACTGTGACTTTAAGCAAAGTGATGTATAATGAAATCAGTTTTATCATTGGCTGATTGATATAAAGAATAGTTAAGTTCCCATGGTGTATTTCTGGTCACAAAAACATCACCAAACTTGTAAATAAAGACCAAAACACTTTAGTATATTAAACTAAACATACTGAACACTAAAATAAATGTGTGCTATGCATACATTTAAGAAGGATTAATAAAAATAATTATTTGTTCAATTTTTGGTGAATCTTTGAGTGATGGTGGTCATAGTGGTGGTGGTTTAAATCAAAGAATGAACATTTGCAAAACAAAATTTGCAAGGAGCACCTTCTACCCCCACAAAGTCTGAAAACAATCACTAATGTGGTGGGCTCGCTGAGTGCTTTCAGACCACATTGTGTATTGTTGTCCATTTGTGGGATTATCGCATAATTATGAATTTTTATTTTATAATAATTTGTATTTATTCAGTGCCCAACCCACTTATTCCAGTTCAGGGTTGCAGGTGGCCAGAACCTCTCCCAGCAGCTCTGGGAACAAGGCAGGAGCCAGCCCTGGACATGATGCCATTTTATTGCAGGATGTGCTCACACACACCCACTCACCGAGACCAGGACTGTGTAGACAAGCCAATGAACCTAATGTGCACATCTTAAGGATGTGGGAGGAAAGCAAAGGACCCAGAGAAAATCTGCGCAGACATGGGGAGAATGTCCAAACTCCACACAGACAGTGGCCCCAGGTAGGAATCAATCTTTTTTCTCCTCAATGTCACAGTGAAATGACACTGAATGAAATGACATTGAAAGAATAGACATTATTAGAGTACCTGCTGTACATGCCACGTGAGTTAATTCTCAAAAATTGAAGAGCAGTTCCATTTCACTAATGATGCTAGAGAGATACATATTAATATTTTACCCAAGGTTACACAACTAATCAGTGGTTGAACATTGTTTTAAGTCAATGTCTGCTTGTTTTCAAAGCCAATGTTCTTTCAATATGACTATGCTGCTTCTAGAAGAGTCAGATGGTCAGATCTTTATTTTAGAAAAATTTCTCTGGCAGGATTATAGAGCAGGGATTGGTGGTATACTGTGAAAGAGCTGTAGATGATTACATAAATGAATGAGTGTGTATGTGTTACAATATAAGTTTATTTACAGGCTGGGCATGGTGGTTCATGCCTGTAATCCTAGCACTTAGGGCGGCCGAGGTCAGAGGATAGCTTGAGTCCAGGAGTTTGAGGTTGCAGTGAGCTATGATGACACCACTGCATTCTAGCCTGGGTGACAGAGTGAGCCCCTATCTTAAAAAAAAACAAAACCAAACAAAGATAATCCCAAATTTTATTTACAAAAGCAGGTGGCAGGGCTGCATAGCACAGAGGTGGATTGGCGAGTACAAGGGAAGAGGTGGGGAGATCACCTGGAAGGTATTGAAGAGGCTGGGTGAGAAGTTACGAGGCTGAGCTGGGGCATGTCACAGTATCATGTCACATGAACATATTTGACCGAATTGCAGGACAGAACGTTTGTCTTCCATCTTATTATATGGGAATGGATGGGGCAAGGGGCAGAGTTATGAATGGGAAATCCAGGATGATTTACAGGTTTCTGGTTTGTAACTGTGAACATGGCTCACATTTTGGCCAGGAGAGAATTTTGAGGAGTAGGTTTCTTTGGAGAAAGCTTGTTTTCAGTTTGAGTGTGTTTAGTTGAAAGGGTTTGTGAGACATCCAAATGGGAATATCCAGTCAACAAGTGGAAATGCAAGAGCTCAGAGGACAGAGCCAAGCCCGAGAAGTCAGTATAGAGGTAGCAGCTGAAACCTGGGCTGCAGAGGAGCCTGCCCGGGGTGTGGGGAGTTCCCAATAAGCCTGGGGAACAAAGGACCTCGGGAGAGACAGGGATGGTCTCAAGAACTTTCTATGGATAAGAGTGATTCCAGCAGGAGAGGTACCAGTGTTGGTGTTGTCATGGATGCTGCGATGACTGCTCAGATGCCATTTCAACAGTGGACTATTTTTGTATCAGAAATTTAAAAAAATATATTAAAAATGGACTATTTTCCCAGCTGCTGTGAGTACCTCCCAAAGATGGTCCCCAGCTGTCTGTCCTCTTTGGCGATTGCCTCAACTGAAGAAAACTGCCCGACTCTAGGTGTTTCCTCTTTCCGGAGGTAACCCATGTCCTCTGATCGCCACAGTGGCATGAAGGCCCAGCTCCCTCACCCCGACTTGGGATAATCTGAAGGGCCGCTGTTGCTCCAGAGTTCAGCAGTTCTGTGGGGCTGGCTGAGGCCGAGTCAGGAGTTCACCGCAGCTCGGCCTCCCCTGCTTGGGTACGGAACCCACGTGTGCACTTATAAAAACATCCTGCTTGAGAATCTCCGTCTCAGCATCCGCTTCTCAGGGAGCCTGGTGTGCAACTGAGGCTCTTTGCTTCCGTCCTTGCCCTGCCGTTGTTTTCAAATGTTCCTATTTAAGGGCAAGCAGGCCCAGACCCACCTATTAATTCATCAGATCCTAAAACAACCCTGTGGTGGGTAAAAACCAAGACTCTGATGTCTTACTGACTGAATAAAGCTTTATTTTAATGCAAAATAAAACAAGAAAAATTTATATACTCATATATAACAACATTCAAAATGTTTTTCTGTGGTACAAATGAGATCATCTTAAAAAGTTTGTAAAGAATTCATTCTCCACCCCCATATGCCAAAATATGATTTCACATAATTTATCTTCAGAACTTATGAACAGACTTGGTATCATAAAAGCACAGGAAACACTAGAAAAAGTGATGGTACAAACAACAGGTTTTGTTTTATGTTCCAGTAGTAAACAGCACTGCAGATGGAACAGGAGAACACTTTCTGGAAGAGTCGGGAGACAGGCTAGAAGAGTCTTTGGGGTTGATTCACTTCCCACTCCCAGCTTGGTAGCCGAGCCTGTCTTTAAAAGTCAGCTTGTGTGAGATTCTGTGACTATTTAAGGACATGAGGGAGAAAGGGTTTCACTTAGAAGTTGTAACTGCATGTGAGATTCTAGGCTTATTTTAGATATCTAACTTCTTTCCTCCTTTTTTTATCAGAAAGGTGACTTTGTAGGAATATCTTATGGAGACCCTTCTTTCTGGTCTCACTGTGGCATCGTTTCCATCTAAGTCGACATGAACTGAGAGTGCACAGAATACTAGTGTAGCTCTTTCTGAATCCAACTCCCTCCTGCCTAATTGCACTAAATCCAGACTTTCTGATGCTCATGGACTCAGGAAGCAGTAGGGTGTCTACCCAATTTAACACCGATTTGAAGGCCATTCATTGTGGATTTCAGACTTTAATGCTGATGGGTATTGTACAGGCACACATTACATACCAAAACTCTCCAGATCTCTCTACCCTCCTGAAATGCTACAACGTTTCTCCAACAAAAATGAATGCTATGGTTACAGGTTGGGGAAATAAATATGTTTTATAGGCTTGATCTCTACACATATACCAGGGAAAAGAGAAATGAGTTTCATGATCCTCCTAAAGTTATTAGGTGGATTTCCTTCAAAAGATAGCTTTAGTTCAAAAATTTCATGAATCTTTGGAAGGGATAATGACTCGTGTTTTAATTTTATTTAGTTGACAGTAAACTATACAGCTACAGTGAAGCCTCTAATCTGTCAGGAGATTTGCACAGGGCTTCCTCCACAGGTGACAGTCGGTCTGTGCTCTACCATGCTCTTGACTGTAAGATTTTTGCTCCATGCTATCCTTGGTGGGCAACACATATATACCTAAAAATCTAAGAACGAAGAGCTTCAGAATAATTTTTTTTCCAATTTCTGCTTGCTACTAAATTATGATTTAAGAGTTGTTTTTGAGCTTGCCTTTCATCCACTGATTTGGTATTATGTGGAAACAATACTATACTAAGAGTGATAGTGCCACAGCTCAGTGACAAAATGGATCAATGAGATGTTGTGTTTCTCTCCCTTGCAGAGGACTGAATTCTCCTGCATCTAAAAGTTTTCAATGGTCTGCTCTTTCATCTCTCTATTGCAAAACAGGAGAAAAACAGGGGTCCTTATAAAATATCTAGTGACTTGAGGCCCAAATGACTCAGTAGTTAGATCTGCAGCCGGGCTGTGTATGTTGATTGGGTTTGTATAATAACTTAATGGTCTCTCTATTCCAGGGGGGCTATTAGAGTTGTGAGCTGTAAGGAGACACTTGATTGAGTTTTCCCAAGACCATAAATAAGCAGGGAATAATTTTCTGCTCCTGGGCATCACTGATTATATCCTGGTCTTCTAAATACTCTAAACAACCTGTTCTAAACACTGGGAAAGAGACCTGTAACCTCTGGGTGGTGACAATTGGAGGGTTAGTGCACAGGCATTTATAAAGCTTACATAGGAGCTATTCTTAATTGTTGCTTGGCTTGATGGAGCCTCTGTCACAAATGTAATGTTCACTTCTTTCGGGCAGGATCAAATGGAGCGTGAGTTATATTTCAAGCAAGAAAAGAAAACTGCTATAATCTATTTCTTGTTCACTTCAATAGTGCCTTCACATCACTGCCTGCTCCTTGGGATTAGCCACTATGTTACTGACTGTGTATACAACACAAAACCGTGCTTTGGAGCAGCTCACTGTGAGCCTGTGTGTGGAAGGCACTGTGCCCGCGAGATGGCAACACTGCAGGTGAAGACACGGGCATCCTTTCCGCAAGGGCCACCCCTCCAAAGCACGGAGTTCTACACCACCACCCTGGCCACCCCTCACGTGGTCCTAGCCTGATCCAGAAGGAGCCTTCTGGCTTGGTTATGTTGAGAAATCTACAAAAATTTGGTTAAAATATGGAACATACTGAGAGCTGATTTTTAATGCTTCAAACAAGTTAACATTTCCCTCATTTCCCTCATTTTCTTCTTTGAAGTTTATTTAGCTTGAGGGGAAGGTAGCATTCAGCACGTTGGCAGGGAAACCCTACGGCTCACCTGTTCTCCCTTCAGGTGAGCACAGCCTCAGATCCTCAACCTCATTGAACAAACTGCAAACAACCTAAAGGTGCCTGACTTAAGAGAGATGACAGAGGACAAAAACCAACTTGACAGTCTATTCTCAAGAGGGTCAGAGTGAACTGTAGTTTGGAAAATGATCTCTCTTCGAGTCCAGTAAATAACACTATTTACATCTAAAACTAGCATAGGCATCATTCTTGGTAACACAACTCTATTTTAAATTAAAAAAAAAAAAAACTAAACTGGGCTGGATGGATGCTCTATGTGTTCAATAATACTATAATTTATTAAACCCTGTCAGTTAGAGGTATTCTAATCTCAGCCAGAATATATCTAAATTGAACTCAAGACTTTTTTTGAGAGGGTATGAAAGAGGAATATGAAAAGACTTAACGTATTTTAAGAGTCACCGAGCAATTCAAACTGATGCTCAGGTTTTGTTGTCAGTCTTTTGCTTGTATACTCATTTAGGGCAGGATGTAAATTTCAGATGTTTTGTTCTTGTAAAAAAACTGCTGCAAAGCTCCAAAGTAATTCCCACGGGGTTGTTCTACTTAGAGGGTGGGGTTTCAGCTTTTCAAAGCCTTAAGACCATCCTTTCCCAATTGGAGACCTTGGTCTTGCCCTGACTTTTGTTAATGAAATATAGCAGACACAGAATGATCTAGTCTTACACCTCTTTCCCCTTCCCCTCCATTTCTTTTTCCTTCTTTATCAAACTTTCCAGAAAGCATTTTTAATCTTCCATTCTCCATATTGGTAATCACGTGTGTTTGAAAACACACACACACACACACACACACACACACACACACACACGATCATTCACTTCCTTCTACTACCTGATGGCCATCAATTTCCAAAGGCCATGGCCAGCTCCTCACTGTCCTGCGTGTAGATGGGTACTGTTTGGCACTGAGTCTGGAATTGGCTTCTCTAGGGCACTGCTTCCTGTGCGACCTTACAGCGGGCTCTATTTTGCCTAAGCACACTTTAGCTCTCAAGTGGGAACCTTAAAGTAGAGGCCCCAGTTAACATAATTACAGGCAGGAGATTTGGGGCTGGCTCTGAAACCAGATACCTCTATGCCTGGGACTCAGGAGGAAGGAAGGTGAGGACCACGGGAGGTTCACCCCTCTTAACCTCATCACCTAGGTCCTCAGGATATATTCCTTCTGGAAGCTCTGACTGGCTTTGCACATTCTCCCAGGACACTAATACTGCATTCACATTGCACTGACTTTTATATCAAAAGCAAGGAAATGTGTAATGTTTATATCAAATGAGTGGTATCAGGAACCTGAGAAATTCTCCAAATAAGGAAATGCAGTCTTCCTTTGGGTATAAAAAATTTCAAGGAGACCACAAGTCATATTTGCTGTTGTTTTTTGTTCAATACTAAAAAAAAACCAAAAACAGAAAAAAAAGAAAAAAAAATACCTATACTCACTTAAGATGCCTACATTGCAGACTGTCTACTCTGCCACTCCTCTGACTTAGCAGCTCTAATAAGCAGCTGAGGCTGAGCCTCGAATGGATGCTGCCGCCCGGCAGAGACCGTGTCTGTCCTGCCACTCCTGTGGGGGGTGTGTGCATGTGTGGGCGTGGGCCAGGTTCTCTGGCCGGGAGGCACTGTGTGGTCTGGCTCCACTGCTAGCTGCTTGTTCAGTGGCCACTCTCACCGAGTTGAAAAATTCTGAAAGCCTTTCCAATATCAGGTAGTATTGTTTTTATGGCCCCGTTCTTCTTCTTCCTTCTGATTTTTTACCCCCCCAAACCCTCTGCCCTTCCTTTCCCCCCTCTGATTAGCAGTCAAGTGTTGCAATCTCAGCAGGAAAAAGCTAATTTGTACCATGGAGAATTCTTTACGGGTAGGAGGCACTGGGGTCTAGAAAGGGCAAAGGTGGCCGTCCACGTCTTCCTTTCTGGGCTGGGCTGGCCTGGGCGGCGATCAGCTATACAGCCGCAGTCATGGGGTTCTTCTGCCGGGGGTCCTGGGGCCGGTAGGGGTACTGGTCTGGGCTGCCGCCTCGGGGCCCTGGTCTGCCCATTTCCTGATAGGCCGGCACTCTTTGGTGCTGAGGAGGGGAAGGCGGGACATCCTGTCGGAAGGGTCCTTTGTGCTGGGGGGCTGGCGGGGGCGGGTAGTACTGAGGATACCGGAGGTCTGCCGCCCTCAGATCCGGGGGCCGTGGGTAGCTCCCTTTGGGAGGATGCACGGGGTGAGCCCCTGGGTAGTACGGAAGCTCCCTCTCCTTGTAGAGCCCTCGAGCTGCTGCGCTCAGGTAGTCTGCGGGGTCTGCTGGCCTGCCCCTGGAAGGCAAAGAAGAGAGACGGGTCAGTCACTGCTAAGCCGCCTGCCCAAGCCCGGGGGGTTGGGTGTGGCCACTGACCAGGCCTTGGCTGATGGGATGTGAGCAGAAGTTACGCGTGTCCTTAAAAAGAAGAGAGGGAATCCCTTACCTTCTCTTCTTCCTGTTGGCTGCTGGAATACCACCTTAGACCACAAGGGGAAAAGCATGCGATGAGGAAGGCAAAGATGACAAGAAGGCAAGAAACCACACTGCCACCATGTCAGCCAGGCTGCTCACACTCACATTGGGAAATACACTTCTGTCTTGTTTATACCCCCTTCTGGCGGCCTCTATTATAGTAGCCAAACTAGTTTCCTAATCAAGGCAATGAGCTTGGCTCTCTTATTTTTCCCAAGTAGCAAAACACATAATTTAATATTTAAATATTATATTATTTTTCACCCATGAATTTCTAGTCTGAAGCTGGGTATTCAAAGGAATTCTTTTTGTTCCTGTCCATTTAGTATTATTTTTAGTTTTAATTATGGATATTTCAGAAACACAGAAAAGTAAACCAGTTTCAATGATACCCATGAACCCTACCTCCTATATTTAACAGTATTAACATTTTGCCATGTTTTTTTCATATAGTATTTTTGTAGAGGAATAAAATGTTACAGGTATAGCTAAATCCCTATCCTTTCTTTTCACGTTAGAATTAACTACTATCGTGAAGTTGGTGTGTGTGAATGTATACCTTAGCACATTTTTATATACATGTATCCATAAGCAACATATACCAAGTTTATGTTTTAAAATTTTAATAAATATCATAGTTTAGAATTTGTTTTGCAGTTTACTTTTGTCACTCAGCATTATATTTTCGAATTTTAACATTTTCCATGTTGATACATTTAGGATCTAGTTCATTAATTTTAACTGGTATGTAATATTTCACTGTGTGACACCAGTCCTGTTATAAGGAAAGATCTTAAATTTATTATATGCCTCCTAAGTATCAGACATTATGATAGATATTTACATATTATATACATGGCTTGATTTTTGCTCCAGGTTGTACCTTAATTCGATGATGTCTTACTGACTGGCAAGGCTAGAAATGAGAAATAATTTTATTTTCCTGCCCAGCAAAGCCCAACATTTCCGGGCTCACTGTATGTCCTTTCAAGTCTGTTTGCAAACCATTCAGCTCTTGCTCAGCTTGTCTATTTTTTGCAGAAACTTACAAATACACCTAGCAGAAGCCTACTCATTTTTTAAACATTCTAGCCTGAAACCTGCTTGCCTAAATTCACAAATTCATTAGATAGATTTTCTGTCTCCAAATTATCATGGGCAATATTTTTTTACCAAATACATTACTACTACATAAAATGGACCCCCATTTTTCTAGCCTCATATAACGGTCTCATTGTCACCACCTGATCCCAAAGCCAGTGCTACCTATATTAGGTTTTTGGCATGGTAATACCTCAATTATCCGCACCAATTTCTTTGTCACTTGTTTATTGGAGTTTGGCTTTCTTAAGGGCATGATCATCAGACCCCTGACCATTTCCTGCCCTCCTATCCAGGACAGGCTTCCATGAAACCTGTTTCAGGCATGCTGGTAGAAATGTACAGGTTATTTGCAGCCAGGAAGTCCCGATAGATTGCACTCATTTCTGTTCTAGATCTGTGAGGTGCTCTTCCAATGGGCTGCACTCTTGGTCTAACTCTGGTTGGCTGCTGCCACGGCCCTGTGTGGATTTTAGTGGCCCCACCCCCACCCCGTAGTCCTTAGAAAAGTCCCAACCTAGAGCTGGGAATTACCCACCTAGAGCTTTGATGTAATTAATTCTAATGCAAAGTCAGGAAGTACCACCAGGCCAGTAGCAGAGTGGGGATAAACCAAACCAGCTGTAAGTTGCGCTGTGCAATGGGTAGGCACCTAGAAACATCCAGAGCAAGAATAAACACTAACAGAAGTGGCCCTGTCTGATCTCTTTCCTAAAGACAACAAGCATTTTCTGATCCATTTGCCGTAACAGAAGCAATACGTCTCTAAACAATGTGCAGATGACTGCATCTTATCTAGCCTGGGGTTAAACAGATGAGTTCTGTTTGCAGCTCTTAAAATCCCATAAACCTTCTGTGCACACATTTACCACCACCACTGGCTCTAGATCCGACCCATTTTTTACCACTCCCCCCTCCTTTTATAATTTTTTAAAAAGGAAAACAGCAAAACAATAATAATTAAGGGAAATCTTTCCAATGTCAGAGTACAAACTGCTAAGATGCTTGAAAGGAATGACAGGGCTGTAAAAATACAGTGTCTGTGGTTAATCAAGCACTGTCAATGAGGGTCGAAATCACCCTGTAATCTGCAGAGTTGGATGTTAAAGCAGCTCTGTAAGTCGCCCAAATCAGTGAAAATTTGACAAGCTCCGAGCTTGGGTGCACGTGGAAAGCAGCTTGTGAACATATCCATAAAGATAAACGATAGAATTCTCTCTACTTTCTTTGTCTTAATTTGGCTATGTATAATAACGAAAGATAGCTCCTTGAGCTTGGGGTAATTTAGATATTAAGAGTTTTCAGATTAAAAAAATTAAATTGTTTGTATACAAGTTATTATGGCATCAGCTGCTATTATTCAATGCAGTTTGCTCTATTTTAAATTGCCCATGACAAATAGAGCATAAATGCATGATCTGTCACTCCAGCCATAGGAAATCAAGGATCTGGATTTCACCTTCCCTTTCCTTTAGAATTACATTTTTGATTTAGAAAACTTCCAGCATTCATTATATCTTTTATCACAAGAATTTTTAAAGTCCCCTCCACCCCACCATGCTCATTTCTATTTCCTTTTGGTTCATGTTGGAGATTTCCGATGCACTTAAAAAAAATTCTTAACCTATGCTTTCTCTCAAAATCCACTGAAGATATTTCTCTGCATGAAGTGAAACATGTGGTTTTTCTGCACTCATTTAAAGCCCTTAGGATAAATCACTGACATTTGCAACACACAAACATTATCTGCCTTAAAGTGAACATACAACCAACGCTCCCTCCGGACTCTCTTAGCGTGAATGTTTCCTGTTTAAAATGGAAAGAGAGAAAGGAGGAATTCCAGGCCTTGGACTTTTAGGGTCCTGTTCTCTCCCCAGAGATTTCTCTCTTTTAAAACAGAACATTATAAAAGACAGGCTCTCCTTGTTTTTTAATATTTTTGGACAGGCAATCCAGAGCTAGTGGTGAGGGGGCAGAAGCCACCCTGAGAGACTCCACGACAACGTGGGCTTCACACACGCAGGGGACGGCCACTATCTCTCTTCCCACGCCTCGCCCCTCCGACGTGTCCAGCTCTCACAGGGAGGAGGAAGGAGGTTTCCTGTGGTCAGACAGGGCAGACCTCTGGACAGTTTTGTGGCCCTATACTGATGCCTCTGAGGGGAGATTTTATGTCTGGGAGTTTGCTTACATGTGGCAGAAACCAAGTGAAGTAGCTGCTCTTTGTCAAGAAATGAAATCATGGAAATTGTCTTTTTCTGCAGAACTCATCATAACAGTTATCGTTTTAATTTTTCAGAGAGAAGAAAAACAATGAGTTGGCCTATAAAAACACTGTTTAAGGTTCAAAGCATGCTAAAAGAATTTTTCTTTGTTTTAGAGGGTGGTATGTAGCTGTTGTTTATAACTTTTTGCTCAAAACTGAGCATTTTCTACAGCCTTTTGCCAGAATAACTTAATTCTTTTGATTATCACATGTGTGCATGTGTATGTGTGCACACATGTGTACATGTTTAAAAGAACAATTTTTTTTTCTTTATTTTATAGACATAGTCTTACTCCTGGACTCAAGTGATCCTTCTGTCTCAGCCTCCAGAGTAGCTGGTACTACAGGTGTATGCTACTACACCTGGCTTGTTTGTTTATTTATATATTTTTTTTCTAGAGATGGGATCTTGCTATGTTGTCCATGCTGGTCTTGACTCATGGCCTCAAGTGATCCTCCTGCCTTAATCTCCCCAGTAGCTGGGATTATAGACATAAGCACTGCCACCAGCTAAAAGAACAATTTTTAAACAGAGAAAATAACCCCCTCCTCATTAACTACAGAACTTGACAGAGGAGAAGAGGGAGTTAATGTTGAGATTCCCTTTTCATAGCCTCTTTATTTGTGTGAAATTTAGTACTTGTAGGAAAGCACAAAACAAGCCATTTCTGGGGACTAAGCAACATGAAGCACAGTGACTGGTGCTGTGTGTTGAGTCAACCCTGAGAAATCCAGGGGCAGCTTCCTCAGGAGATTCTGATTAAAACAAGGATTGAAATAGCAAACATATCAGTATTTTAAGACCATTCATTTTTCATATGACCTCATGAGTTTTATTTGCATGTGTTATTATTTTTCTTAAAAAAAATTTCAATTTAAAATCTCGCTCAGAAACCATTATTTATGTAAGGGAAGAGAAACAAGCCTGTATTTGTTTTATTTATAATATAACTCTTTGAGGTACCGGTCATGAAAACACCTCTAATTTTAAATTTTTGCTTTATTTTATTTCTGATTAGGCTCATTTCCAGAGGCCAGAAGGATTCGGGTTTTGCTTGGAAGACTCACAGGACTCTCCCTGGTATGCAGTTTCGATCACGTAGATACATGCAATAATGAATGTTAACTGTTAAGCCTGAACATGACAAAGCTATATGTTATTTACACGTAAAGAAACAATAAGGATCACTTTCTTTATATAAGGTTTTCTTCTCTTTGCCATCTCAGTATGCCATTATTTTTCATTAAGAAAAAAAAGGGGCTAGAAATCAGAGGCTAAGCTTATCAGATAGCCAGCCCTGGGTACCCATGGTCTTTATCTTATCCATATTTGCTAAGATAATTCTGTATAGGGAAAGGGTTCAGTATTGGGAGTAGGGAGTCATTAGCAAATCTCTCACTAGGAATAAGGAGGCTGCACTTATAGATGAAGGAGCACGAGCAAGTCTGAATCC